AAGTATAAACTACATAGTATCATCATTATACTAAATATACTCTACAATAAGCTGAGTTACTAACAGTATGTAATACATTACAATTCTATGTCGTAAAAAATATAATATGCTTCCATTTAAACTTTATTCTCTTACATCACACGAGTCTACACCGTACTATATACTGCCATAGACAAACCCAACATTAAGTTATATACTGTATTGCTATAAACCACCATTGTAATATTACACTATGTATTATTCTACCCACCCTAATGTATATCAAACTGCTGTATATTCACTATACAATTACGATATTATATATTACTTCGTACATTGTATTAAGCATGTACATTTTTATACTATTTGTTATTATACATTGTACCGTTGACCGTCGTGTGAAAGATACTAAGAGGAAGAAACAAGATATGTCAATGCAGCGGAGCAAAGAATCCATTCCCTGCGGAGAATACAATGCCAGTGAGTGGAACGCGGTCTGAAAGTCACTGTAAACGTGAACACAATCAGTTAAGATCCGAAATGGTTTATTACGTCCTTCCAATGATTGCTAAGCCAGAATCCATCTTCTCGGTTGAAATTGTCTCTGTGTTTGTATATGTGGATCGCCTCATGAACGAATCTCTCATGGTAGCCAGATGGCTTGCAGAGAACCTCTGTCTTGGAGAAGTCAATATCATATGAGCCCACTGAATTGTAACAGTGATCTGCCACGGCTGAGGTGTTTGTCCTACCGTGTTTCAAGTCTGCTTTATGTTCACGGATGTGGTCCGAGACATGTCGTTTGGTTTCTCCAATGTAACTGCTACCACAGAGGAAACTTAGTTTGTAGACGCCAGGGTACTGTATGTCTGGAACCACATCTTTTACAGATGGGACCAGATCACGGATTTTATGTACTGTGTTGAATCGGACCTGGATCTTGTGTTTTATCAGGATTTTGGAGATCTTTTTTGTGACCCCAGCAATGTAGGGTAAGGTGATGGTCTTGAAAGGCTCCTCAACGGAATCCTACTTGATGGTTGGAGTGATGGCTTTGCGGATTGTGTAGTCGGAGTAACCATTAGCCTTAAGAGCTTGGCGTATGTGTTTGAGTTCACTGGCAATGTGTTCCTGGTCGGATATGCATTGGGCTCTATGGTATAGAGTCTTGATGAGGGAATTCTTCTGGGATGGATGGTGGTGGGAATACGGTTTTTAGGCAAGCATCCGTATGGGTGGCTTTCCTGTAGACAGAGTGGCTCATTGCACCATCAGGTCTCTTTTTAATTAGGACATCCAAAAAGGGTAGCTTGCCATCTTTTTCGACTTCCATGGTGAATCTGATGGCTGGGTGTATGGAATTGATGTGGTCGAGAAATTGGTCTAGAGCAGGCCGGCCATGTGGCCAGATGACAAAAGTGTCATCTACGTACCTCTTCCCATAAGGTCGGGTGTAGAGTGGCAGTCTGGATGGCGTCAGTCTCAAATTTCTCCATGAAAATGTTGGCTACAACCGGAGATAGGGGGGAGCCCATTGGGGTGCCCTCAGTTTGCTTGTAGAAAGTTCCATTCCAGGTGAAGTATGTATTAGTTAAGCAGTGTCTCACCAGGGGGGGTACCCCAGTATTCAGTCCTTGATGAACCAAGTCTTCAATGATTGCGATGGTGTCAGGTACAGGAACTTTGGTAAATAAGGAAACCACATCAAAACTGACAAGCAGGTCGTCTGGGGACAGGGAAATCCCCTTGATTGTCGATACCAGGTCGGTAGAGTTTAGTACCGCAGAGGTGGTTTTTCCAGTGAAAGGCCGTAGGATTTCAGACAAAAAACGAGCCAGTTTGTAGGTGGGGGAGTTGATAGTCGAGACAATGGGACGAATAGGTGTATCTTCTTTATGTATCTTTGGTAAGCCGTATAATCTTGGTGGCCTGGCTGCAGAAGGTTTCAATGAGAACTGTTTGGTCTGATCAATTAATGCGGTTGAAGCAGAAATTATGTTGTTGGTTTTAGTGACGAGGCTGTTGGTGGGGTCTCTTTTTATTTTTGTATAGCTGCCATCGTTGAGTAGTTCTTGAATTTTGTTGTATTCTATTTTGTCCATGATGACAGTGGCATTGCCTTTGTCGCCTGAGAGGATAACAATGTCATCCCTCTTTTTCAATTGAGCTAATTCAAAACGCTCATCTTTGCTGATGTTGCTAGCAGGCATCTTAGCGTTTTTGAGGGCTGCAGAGATTTCAGATCTTGCTACGTCTGCAGCGATGTGACTGGTATGTGTCTAGGTGTGACTGCAAAGTTAAGTCTTTTAGCAAAGATGAGCGTTTTGAATTAGCTCAATTGAGAGATGATCCTGTATGAAAGAAGCCGGAGTGTAAAGTCGCGTTGCTGGTAGGGGCTCGCCACCACAATCACCGCCACCGTCATCAGGCACGACTTTGTCTCCCGACAAGACGTGCATCACTGAGCCGCGTAGCACTTTTTCAAAAGCGACCTGGCTATGACAAACGATAGCTCAACGAAGTGGCTTATCATCAAATGGAAATTTATAGCAGCCGAATACTCCAAACGCCTGATGTTGATTCTAAACATGGAGGGAATAACTGGAGGACCTGGAGAAAAATCCACGCGACCATGGGGAGAACATGCAAACTCCAAATATACAGCAGGCATCAGGTTCAGGATCGCACCCACGGCTCCTGTATACCAGGCGAGGTAGTTAACATCTCGCCACGGCAGCGCTCCATTATTGCGAGTTTAATGTGCCCGGGAGACCTATGTTGAACTTCTTTCACACCGTACATAGCCAACCTGGCTAGTTGGAGGTGCAGATAAATGTACAACGCAACAAGCATTTCTAAAGAAATGAGTTTCCAATCTAGATTTAAAAGCGCATAGCTCCCAGTGTGTTCCTAATATCGGATGGAAGAGACCCACAGAGACCCAGAGACTCATATAGAACCACAGAGACCCATACTCATGTATGTATGTTGGACTTCTTTGGCACCGTACGTAGACAGACCGTGCTAATCGGAGGTGCCGGTGGGGGGGAAGGACGAGGAATCTCCGCACGCGCGCGCACGATAGTTACCCTCGGCGTGTTTTAACTCATCTCTCTCGTGGCGAGAGCAGGTGTCGAATAACCTCCGGTACCTGTTCCCTGTGCCCAAGGACAGCCGGCGCATCATCACGCTCGCCAAAGACGACAACTACATCTCGTTCAGGTGCGCTGCCGCCGCGCACGTCTCGGTCGTCGTCGTCCGCTGTCCATCGCCGATGGGTCTCCCGCAGCGTTCTTCATTGCAAGGCCCACCACGAGCCACTTGGGGGCCCTGGTGGCCTTGAGTGCAGACCCCGACGTGCGGCCCCGACAATGCACATATGTGAAACTAAACTATTTTGATGTTGCGATGTGATTTGACCCAACTAGGTAATTTGCGGGTTGTTTTACAAACACTGTAAATTTCACCGTAATGCCGGCATGCCACGGTGGTGAGATGACGACTTCGCCAGGTATACAGGAGATCATAGGTTCGATCCCGACCCCGACGCCTGTATATTCGGAGTTTGCATGTTCTCCTCCTGGTCGCATGGATTTTTCTCCGGGTCCTCCGGGTTTTTCTCTCCACATTTAAAAACTTGAATTTAGAGTATTTGGCTGCTATACATTATTATGTGAAAAGAGATACATAGCTCAGTGGTAAAATAAAAAGTTTCGTTTTACTTGAGTTTTCGAGCATGGGCACAGAGTTTTCATTTAATGCCATCTCTGAAGCTGACGGCGCGTAATGTTCATTTGTTTATGCATCCGCAGTTTTTAACAGGGCGGCCGCTGGCCTCTAACTGGCAAACGTCTGCTAGGACGCATAATGAGAGTCCAGGGAGGATGATGGACTGAATGTAAGAGTCTAGCGTTGGGCCGCGCGGCCCGCAGGTGACTTGCAGAGCGGGTCGGAACTTGAGTCGGTGGGGTCGCTGCTCTGGTCGCATTCGCTGTGCCGTGACCTGACCCGCATTCCCCCACCCCCGATGCGATGTGTAAATTTAAAGATGACCGGGCGTAATGCTGGCCACCCACACCCACCCCTTCGTGTGCCGTGCTGGCTTTCCTACGTGCTAATAAGCGAACAGCGCTTTTCCCACACGGTCTGTTAAAGGCTACATGGGGGGGGATCTTTGCTTTCGTGTGTCGCGCAGTCTACGAGATTAAACTGGGCACGCTGGACAACGTGGCCACCGCCGAGGTGGAGTGGCCCTGGAAACCGTACATGAACACGGCGAAGAAGTGTAAGTTCCCGAGCGTGGATTGAGGGGGGGGGGGCGATTCCCCCCTCCTCCCAACACCGTGGGCATGGGGGGGGGGGGTGTTTGTCCCTGAAAAAACGGAGTTGGAGTCAACTCGCGGCGCTCTCCGCCGAGGCTCGAGGCGTTGAGGAGAGGTCGCCGTGTGGATAGGGCAGTGCGTGAATTGCTGTTCCAACCCACGTCACACACGCCCATCATACGCGTCACACACACATTGCGGATGTACATTTATCAAACACAAACATGCACATCTTCGCATGCGTCGCACACAGACGCACACAATTGCACAAAAAGACAAAAGTACCCCGTATCGCCTTTAACAGATTTCTGGGGCAAGTGCTGTTAGCGGGTAGCACCTATGATGGCCGGCATGGCACAGAAGTGGGTGGGTGGCCAGCCCCACGTCTGGCTGCCTTTGCCTCCCCAGGTTTGCGATGTTATACACACCACACCACGTACTCGGATGGCTGAGTTCGTAGGGCGCTAACCGCTGCACCACCGCTCCCCAAACGGTGTACACAAACATACACGCGTACACAAAACGAAAAATTAACATTTATTTAAATAAATAAAAAAGAAAATACCAAGTCAGGCAGGTGGAGAAAGTGGCGTGTCGTTGTGCATGTGTAGATATGAAAAACTGCCATAAGTAAATAATATTTTTGGGAAGTCAAGCACCTTGCGTCACATCTCGACCATTTGAATGGACATCCCCCCCCCCCTCTGTGGCACAAAATAAACTAACAAAACGAATCTATTTGTATTTTAGCAGGTAAGGCCCACTGCTATGCAGCTCTTTTCCAGACGCGACCTGGCCACAAATGAAATACCCATGAATTGGCTTGTTACGCAGAAATTTATAGCAGCCAAATACTCTTAAACACATGTTTCTGAATGTGGAGGGAAAAACCGAAGGACCCAGAGAAAAATCCATGCGGCCACGGGGAGAACAAGACGCTTCTCATCCGTGAAGCACTTCACTTTAATGAGGCGCTGCTGGTGGAGATCGTCTCTGAGGCACTTCTCCTCTGTGCGGCACTCCACCCTGGCAAGGCGCTGCATTTCAAAGAGGTGCTCCTCTACCACGAGGCGTTTCTCCGTGGCAAGGTCCTTCTCCTCCTTGAGACGCTTCACCCCGCTGAAGTCCTTCACCTCCCCAAATATCCTCTGTTCAAGCAAAGATGACCACAGGAATATTCAAACATGCACATGCAAAACATTCATACCCTCATAATCAACGTTTTTGTGTTAGATCGCGTTATTTATAAATGTGTCGTAACCTTCCACCACCCGACACGGCCAATCATCAAAAAAGTGTCACGTTGACAAAAGACAAATAGTTCACTACTTTAGCCCACCGGTGTGTTGAAGCGTGAAACCACAACATTTACAAAAAAAACTGGAAATGTTGTGGATTCACGCTTCAACACACCGGTGGGCTAAAGTAGTGAACTATTTGTCTTTTGTCAACGTGACACTTTTTTGCTGATTGGCCGTGTCGGGTGGTGGAAGGTTACGACACATTTATAAATAACGTGATCTAAACCCAAAAACGTTGATTATGAATAATACTGGTCGCGAAAGCCTCCGTGTTAAAAATTCATACCAACAGGCACGCAAACATAGACGTGCACATAAACACAAATGCATACTCACACATCTATGTACAGATGCAGACATCCACATTCACTCATTCAAGCTTGCTTAGCACACACATGAATATACACTATCACCTGATGTTAACATAACACCTTATCCATCAATACTTTTATCACATTTATTTAATTCTGTCTTCATTGGTAATAAATTACCACTTCAAGTGCTTGCATGAGTGGGATGGTGGAGAGATGGTGTTGTTATTTGGAGAGGTCAAGTAGTGGAATGTTCTCGAGAGATGGTGTCTTATGATGGTATAGTGAGGGAAAAAAGTATTTGATCCCCTGCTGATTTTGTACGTTTGCCCACTGGCAAAGAAATGATCAGTCTATAATTTTAATGGTAGGTTTATTTGAACAGTGAGAGACAGAACAACAAAATCCAGAAAAACGCATGTCAAAAATGTTATGAATTGATTTGCATTTTAATTAGGGAAATAAGTATTTGACCCCTCTGCAAAACATGACTTAGTACTTGGTGGCAAAACCCTTGTTGGCAATCACAGAAGTCGGACGTTTCTTGTAGTTGGCCACCAGGTTTGCACACATCTCAGGAGGGATTTTGTCCCACTCCTCTTTGCAGATCTTCTCCAAGTCATTAAGGTTTCGAGGCTGACGTTTGGCAACTCGAACCTTCAGCTCCTTCCACAGATTTTCTATGGGATTAAGGTCTGGAGACTGGCTAGGCCACTCCAGGACCTTAATGTGCTTCTTCTTGAGCCACTCCTTTGTTGCCTTGGCCGTGTGTTTTTGGTCATTGTCATGCTGGAATACCCATCCACAACCCATTTTCAATGCCCTGGCTGAGGGAAGGAGGTTCTCACCCAAGATTTGACGGTAGATGATCCCTTACATCGTCACTTTGATGCAGTGAAGTTGTCCTGTCCCCTTAGCAGAAAAACACCCCCAAAGCATAATGTTTCCACCTCCATGTTTGACAGTGGGGATGGTGTTCTTGCGGTCATAGGCAGCATTCCTCATCCACACACGGCGAGTTGAGTTGATGCCAAACAGCTCCATTTTGGTCTCATCTGACCACAATACTTTCACCCAGTTGTCCTCTGAATCATTCAGATGTTCATTGGCAAACTTCAGACGGGCATGTATATGTGCTTTCTTGAGCAGGGGGACCTTGCGGGCGCTGCAGGATTTCAGTCCTTCATGGCGTAGTGTGTTACCAACTGTTTTCTTGGTGACTATGGTCCCAGCTGCCTTGAGATCATTGACAAGATCCTCCCGTGTAGTTCTGAGTTCGTAGGGCGCTAACCGCTGGGGGTCAAATACTTATTTCCCTCATTAAAATGCAAATCAATTTATAACATTTTTGACATGCGTTTTTCTGGATTTTTGTTGTTATTCTGTCTCACTCTTCAAATAAACCTACCATTAAAATTATAGACTGATCATTTATTTGTCAGTGGGCAAACGCACAAAATCAGCAGGGGATCAAATACTTTTTTCCCTCATTGTAGAGACACGATGAGGCTCTATGATGGTGCATTTAATTGGCCGTGGTGGTGTGGTGTCATGAGAAAGGTAATGTGGAGAGATGGTGTAGTGATATTTTGGTGTGATGGTGTGCTAGTTTTGGAGAGAATGTTGTGTGTTTGGCCCCCACAGACCCCACACCTTTGGGGAGTGATGCTTGTAGCAACTTTGGCCTGGGAAAGGGTCCACCTTATCCATGTCCCTGCACGTGGTCGACTGGCACGACGACTCCTGGCCTACAAAGAACAAAATTAATTCAAATGACGAGTAATGAATTAGAGAACGAAGGACGTGGAGTTTCACAGAAATAATTTTAAGATCGCTGTAATTGCCTCTTACCACACAATAGGACCTGCTATTGATAAATATTCATCACATGGCAGTAAAACTTTACAAGTCATGTTTAGCTTGAGACCCCAGTTTAAACAAAAATGGCTGAAACTCAGATCTGAACCCATCCTCTCAGCCACACTCGCTCATTACGTCTTCCCATCACCACCAAGCCATGTCTACTGGGTGGGGAGGGGCTGGTGCCCTGATAAAACTCAACGTTTAACCTACTCATGCCAGCTTGTGGCCGCCCTCACAGTCGGCCATATTTGCAGAATACACCACACCGCCGTTGACCCTGGCCATTGACCGAGCAACCCAACGTTCCTACCAACTCCCTCCGCAGGAATGTGTTGTTTTATAACCCTGTGAGCCATGCGGATCTTGACTCGGGTGCAACCGCAAAAAAAGCAAGAAACATCGCAACAGAAAAATCCTGGATAAAACAGCAAAGTCTTCCAGAATAAACACCAGATTCCAACGCCATGTGCAAAAATCCAAGTGGGATGCAAGTCAAACAATAACAACCATAAGACAATGTAGATTAAAGTTATCAGGCTAACTCTGTACTACAACAAACAAACATGGCTAAACGAAACGTTTTCAAAATCACCAAAATAAGGCTATAAAAACAATGTAACAGTGATCATAGGAACTGTGATTCAAATTTAACAATAAACGATACACGTAACATGTACGACCAAACTTTGCAGCTGTAGTTGGTTGCATGAGCCACTCCACAACAGCAGGAGTATCAGTAGCAGAATATAAATTTTTCAATGCACCTTTAAAAATCAGCACACTCTAATCAAAACTCAAGATCGTAGTGTTCTGCCCTTACTAGTACGGTACATTTCATTAAAGCGTGTTTAAAAAAAAGTATTTTTAAATATTACTTATTTCTATCGATGTTCAAAATCCGACCTTTTCAAGCGGTGTTTCTTCATCTCGTGTACATTCGCTCACTTCCCAGGCACATTTCTTTAGAACGACTCATTCTTTCAGAACTGCCTTCTGCGTTTAGTTTGTTGTCCTGCCCCCGCACCTCCTCCGATTAACACGGTTGGCTACGTATGGTGGGAAAGAAGTTAAAGGTACGTAAAGCACGCTTGCAACGTTTAAAGGAGTCTGCGCTTTAATCTTGTGTCTTGTAACCAATCCGTGCGTACGGTGCTGGTAAACGTCGTGTTCAACAGACGTTCACATATCGAGTGTATCCGCATATACCTTGGTACCACAGCGAGTCTGATACGCACTCCCGCCCCCCCCCCCTACAACAGGTAGACAGACTGTGGCATAATTGTGGATTTTCAGGAGGGCCTATAATAGCACCCCATCAACATTGATTGCCATAAAGATGTCAGGAGCAGTAAACAACCTCTATGAAAGCAGTCTGACAAGGTATGATCATCAAACTGCCAGTGCCAACTGTTTCTGCTTGGTCAAAGAGTGGTGCAATTATTCCCTTTAGAATTCCAGATCATGCTCTTGGGTTAGGTTTAGTCTGACCTTAATCCAGATGCAAATGTGCACCAACTATATAGTCAGTCAGGCAGTTATTTTGGGTAACGGCCATTTAGCTAAGCATGTATTTTTCAATGGTGACCTACAGGAGCAATAAACAAATGATTTTCCAAATGTGCCCCATGGTTTTCGTTGTCTGTTTACCCATGTCTGTGCACGAGATCGCCCTAAGTGTTGAGTGTGGGGGGCAGGGGTTGTCATCGCCCGGCGAACTCTTGAGCCACACACGCGGTACCCAAAAACCGAACACTTTGCCAAGAGCATGGCCCAGCCACGCGAGACTAAGTGCCGCTTGTACAACAGAGCAGCGTGGCAGTCGGCGAAGAAGGCTTCACGAGCACTAATTACGTAATAATAATACCGTGCGGTAATAATTGTGCTCTACTAAATTTCAGAATGATGTAAAGAATGTTTTGTGGGGGTTGTTTTCTACGAGCGGCAGGATAAAGTGTGGGTTACTCCAACCTATTCCAAGGCGTCTTGCAAGCTTGGAAGAGCTCACCAAAAAATACCCTCTAGAACAGCACTCTAGAGCTATTTCTAGCAGAGGCCCTTTCACCAGCAGTGGCACAAATAATTGCAGGGGCTGTACCATTACCTTGTATTACAGTTACCACGGTAGCGAAATGTTAACTACCTCGACTGGTATACACGAAGTCGTGGATTCGATCTCGACCCTGACATCAGCATATTTGGAGTTTGCATGTTCTTCCCGTGGTCGCGTGGATTTTTCTCGGGATCCCCCGGTTTTTCCCTCCACATTTAGAATATAACCATGCTTTCGGAGTATTTGTCTGCGAAAAATTTCCAAGCGATAAGTCACTTCGTTTTTGCTATCATTCGTGGCCAGATCACTTCTAAAAGAGAGCTATATAGCTCAGTGGGCCTTCCTTGGTAAATAACAAAAAAGTTTAGTCATTATTTCACGGCTATTATACGACAATCAAGCTAAGACAATGTCCCCATGTTCATGCGAGCACTGGGGCGTCACCCATCTCCATTTGATACCCAGCCCGAGGTTTAACATTCGCGATGCGGCGACACCTGAGCCAGCCTCGGCTCCCCTTCATCAACCTGCAATGACCAGTGTAGTGAGGGCCTAGTCAAACAACAACCATAACAAACATGTAGTGGGGAAGCCTTCAATCAGCAGTGAATTGGACAATTATTTTGGTATGCCCCCCCCCCCCAACCAAACCTCAAGACTTCGCAAAAACTACCCAACATGGCAATCAAATTTTTCTTCACGTTAAATCTTTTTTTTTTCTTCCAAACTTGCAACTGAACAAAAAATATCGGAATGAGAAGACAGTTTAGAACATACTGATTGTCCATGAACATTTTCAGTCGCCTTTTGTTACCTAAGTCAAAGTTTATACATATTCGATTATCGATACCATCGTTCACATGTCCCTCCTGTTTAGGACGAGCCCTATGTACGACAAAATACTGCTGTGATTGACAGGATTAAGTTTCTCGTCATGCACACTGCTGTGTGTAGAATGATGTAAACGCCGAGCACACGTTTTGTACGGGAACTACGTTGGAAGGGCCATCAGATGTGACAGTGGTTCTCATTGCCACAACGTAAAATGTTAAACTCATAAACATCAAAGCAGCTGGCTCCTAGATCTCTGATAACAACAATGCGTGTCGCCGGTCTTTGGCAACCGTGTTGTTAAAACTGTGCATGATGGTCGTGCACACTCCAAGGGTGAATAATGTTAACAAATGTATGAATTTGTATACGACTTGCCACTATGAGCGTACTAAAGAGATGTTTGTTGTAGAGACAAAGGAAGGAACGATTGTCTACGAATTGTGGTTAAAAAAAGTGCATGCATGGCAATTCAGATTGGTTAATTTTCCAGTGGCCGTGAGTTGCAATGAAACTATGACTGTTGTTACAGCAACAGTGTGTGATGGATATCAACAGTATATCTATTTTATGTTTTGCGTGACTTGTTATATCAGTCTTAATTTGGAGCTTTCGTGACTGCAGGAATTATTATTTGGTTCTTTCGGTAAAGTCAGTGATAGATTAAATTTTTCCAAATTCTTCCAGAAAAAATACATGGCATTTCAATAAGCTCACATCTATTGACGCACATACTGTATATGAGATAGATGCATTGCTTTGATAGTTGTTTATGCTATGAGACCTCCTTTACCAGTGGCCAAATATAGTAATAGGTTTTTACCCTTTCAACTGGTACAATAACTGACACCTTTATACAAGGCATCATGTTTGCAATAACCACAACACAAGTAGCCAAAATGCAAACAAAAATAAACAACTCTGATGATGATAATGATATGCACTGTCCTTGAAGTTGATTGGTCCACACCCGAGACAGCTTTTCTTAGAGCCTAGTCTCCATTGGTGTTGGACCAGATGACGCCAAAAGGCGTACAACTCAAAGACAGCGCACTATCAGAGTATTGAGAGCTCGGGGTAAGCATTTACACTATGAGACCTCCTTTACCAGTGGCAAAATATAGTAATAGGTTTTTACCCTTTCAACTGGTACAATAACTGACACCTTTATACAAGGCATCATGTTTGCAATAACCACAACACAAGTAGCCAAAATGCAAACAAAAATAAACAACTCTGATGATGATAATGATATGCACTGTCCTTGAAGTTGATTGGTCCACACCCGAGACAGCTTTTCTTAGAGCCTAGTCTCCATTGGTGTTGGACCAGATGACGCCAAAAGGCGTACAACTCAAAGACAGCGCACTATCAGAGTATTGAGAGCTCGGGGTAAGCATTTACACTATGAGACCTCCTTTACCAGTGGCAAAATACTCTGATAGTGCGCTGTCTTTGAGTTGTACGCCTTTTGGCGTCATCTGGTCCAAGACCAATGGAGACTAGGCTCTAAGAAAAGCTGTCTCGGGTGTGGACCAATCAACTTCAAGGACAGTGCATATCATTATCATCATCAGAGTTGTTTATTTTTGTTTGCATTTTGGCTACTTGTGTTGTGGTTATTGCAAACATGATGCCTTGTATAAAGGTGTCAGTTATTGTACCAGTTGAAAGGGTAAAAACCTATTACTATATTTTGCCACTGGTAAAGGAGGTCTCATAGTGTAAATGCTTACCCCGAGCTCTCAATACTCTGATAGTGCGCTGTCTTTGAGTTGTACGCCTTTTGGCGTCATCTGGTCCAACACCAATGGAGACTTGGCTCTAAGAAAAGCTGTCTCGGGTGTGGACCAATCAACTTCAAGGACAGTGCATATCATTATCATCATCAGAGTTGTTTATTTTTGTTTGCATTTTGGCTACTTGTGTTGTGGTTATTGCAAACATGATGCCTTGTATAAAGGTGTCAGTTATTGTACCAGTTGAAAGGGTAAAAACCTATTACTATAGTTGTTTATGCTTACCATTTTGTAAGTTGAATTGTTTTCACTTGAGTAAATAATAGAAACTGTAAGAATGATGATGAATTCGCTCTGCTTAATATCATTCCTCATTTATGTTTCGTAGTAAATTCATGCAACAGCATTCGTGTCAAAAGTATTCACCCATGGTGTTATTCTAATGACCCATATGCACGAGTAGAGAAAGGCACGTATGATATGAATGGAATAATTGTACAGGCACAATTGTTTTAAAAACCACGAGCTGATTTCCCCACTCTTCATCTCAGAAAAAAGAGTTAAGCAGGCGACAGTAAAGACAGCAGCTATGCCAAACTTAGACTTCAAAGTCACCGTTTCTCCACTTTCAAAGGCTCACTGAACTCTGCTCATCTCCGTTAGTGGTCCCTAGCCGATGGTGGAAATTCCACATTCCTATGGTGGGAATCAGAATGTCCACACGATGACCACACAGAGACCCACAGACTCACCACACAGAGACCCAGACTCACCACACAGACCCACAGACTCACCACACAGAGACCCACAAACTCACCACACAGAGACCCACACACCACACAGAAACCCACAGACTCGCCACACAGAGACCCACAGACTCACCACACAGAGACCCACAAACTCACCACACAGAGACCCACACACCACACAGAAACCCACAGACTCGCCACACAGAGACCCACAGACTCACTACACGGAGACCCAGACTCACCACACAGAGACCCACAGACTCACCACGCAGAGACCCACAGACTCACCACAGAGAGACCCACAGACTCACCACAGAGAGACACACAGACTCACCTCACACAGAGCCCTGTGTCGGCATCTTCAGGTTGAGTCGACCACGAGGAGGCCCAGACAGGGTTCAATTTTTCCTGCCATCGCCGCCATTCGCCCCGACCGGAAGTAGAAGCTGGGGGTGGAGGTCGCCCAAAGAGGAGGGGCGGGGGGCGGCTTCCGGGGGCGTGGTCGCGCACTGTCACGTCACTCGGAGGGCGTGGCTGAAGGGGGCGTGGTCAAGTCCCTCGTGCTGTGACATCACCGGTGACGTCGCAATCACCACGTGCTTCCTCAGAGTTCAAGGCGGGCGTGAAGGAGACGGCAGCTTCTTAAACTTCAGCTGCTTCAGCTTCATCATCGTCGCCTTTCGAACAACTTCTGCTGAAGCCATCCGAGCGAAACTTTTGATGAGGTGAGTTTTGTGGGTTCGTGGTGAGTGTGTAGGATGTGAGTCCATGTTGTGGCTGCGTGGTGAGTGTGTGGATCCGTGTTGTGGGTTCCTGGTGAGTGTGTGGGACCGTGTTGTGGGTTTGTGGTGTGTGGGTCCATGTTGTGAGTTCGTGGTCAGTGTGTGGGTCCGTGGTGAGGATGTGGGTTCGTGGTGAGTGTGTGGGTCCATGTTGTGGGTTCGTGGTGAGTGTGTGGGTCCGTGTTGTGGGTTCGTGGTGAGTGTGTGGGTCTGTGATGTGGGTCCGTGGTGAGTGTGTGGGTCCGTGTTGTGGGTTCGTGGTGTGTGGGTCCATGTTGTGAGTTCGTGGTCAGTGTGTGGGTACCTGTTGTGAGTTCGTGGTCAGTGTGTGGGTCCATGGTGAGTGTGTGGGTCCATGTTGTGGGTTCGTGGTGAGTGTGTGTGTTCATGTTGTCGGTTTGTGATGAATGTGTGGGTCTGTGTTGTGGGTTATTGGTGAGATTGGGTCCGTGGTGAGGATGTGAGGCCATGTGAGTTTGTGGTGAGGATGTGGGTGTGTAGTGAGTGTATGGGTCCGTGTTGTGGGTTCGTGGTGAGTGTGTGGGTCCGTGTTGTGGGTTCGTGGTGAGGATGTGGGTGTGTGGTGAGTGTATGGGTCCGTGTTGTGGGTTCGTGGTGAGTGTGTGGGTCCGTGTTGTGGGTTCGTGGTGAGTGTGTAGGTCCGTGTTGTGGGTTATTGGTGAGGTTGGGTCCGTGGTGCGGATGTTGAGTCCATGTGAGTTTGTGGTGAGGATGTGAGTCCGTGTTGTGAGTTCGTGGTGAGGATGTGAGTCCGTGTTGTGAGTTTGTGGTGAGGATGGGGGTTCGTGGTTAGAATGGTGGGTTCCTGGTTGGGGGATGTGGGAAAGTGGTGAGGATGTGAGTTAGTGTTGTGACTCTCTACACCATCTCCACCCCCCCACCTACCCACAGCTTTCCACACAGAGACCTTGGGGACTGCTGCGTGAGAGAAGCCACTCTGAGTATCAACACCATGGAGGTACGCATGGGCCCCTACGCTCGACTTATGAACACCACCAGCACTCACCAACACCACCCACACTTACGAACACCACCCACACTTACGAACACCACCCACACTTACGAACACCACCCTCACTTACGAACACCACCAGCACTTACGAACAACGCGAGATGTAGTGAGTGTTAACTACCTCGCCTGTTACGCAGGTCGTGGGCTCGATCCTGACCCTGACGATGCCTTCTGCTGTATATTTGCAGTCTGCGTTTCTGTCCCCGTGGTGGTCACCGCGTAGATTCTTTTTAGGGTCCTCCATATTTTCCCCTACATGTTGAGAATCGGCGTCACGCACTTCGAGCAATTGACTGCCGCTATGAATGTCCACGTGATGAAGATGATGTTATCAGCCCACTTTATTCAGCTATCAGCTGAGATGGCCAAGTGGCTTCTGGTCTACATGGGTCTATGGGTCTCTGTGGATCTATGGGTCTCTGTGGGTCTGATGATGACGATGATGATGATGATGACGACGATGATGATGGTGATGACAATGGCGATGATGATGACGATGATGATGATGATGACGATGCGCTGCTGTGGTGCTGCTGCCTCTCTCTCCACAGAGCGGAGCCGGAGGGGAAGCTCCCATCACCATCGTCGTCATCGTCGCTCACCTACACTCCCCACCTACACAACCGACACCACCCATACCACCCACACTCACCACACCACCCACACTCACCACCCACATACACCACTCACTCACCACCCACACACACCACACCACACTCACCACCCACACTCACGACCCACAATCACCACACCACCCACACTCACCACCCAATGGACTAGAGCCTGCTTAGCCACGTGCATGTGTGAAGAGTTAGGATAGAGATAAAAAAAAATATTATAATGTAATAATGTGTACATATATATCTAGACCATTGTTTGTTTATCGATTGTTGTTGTTAATAAATAAGCTGACTCAACAGAACTTTGCAATTGTGTTTGTTGTGGCGAGTTGCTGCTGCCTGGGTCTCAGGTGACTTTGGTCCAAATGTTGACTACCTCGCCTGGTACACAAGAGGTTGTGGATTCGATCCTGACCCTGATGAGATATTAACTACCTCGCCTGGTACATAGGAGGTCGTGGGTTCGATCCCAACCCTGTCGATGCCTGCTGCTGCTGTATATTTGGAGTCTGCATCTCTCTCTCATCATCATCACGATAGCTAGGAGATGTTGGTTACCTCTCCTGGTATACAGGAGATCGTGGGTTCAATCCCGACCCTAACGATGCCTGCTGCTGCTGTGTATTTGGAGTCTGCCCAACTCCGTGTCTCATCAGCAGAAGCAAGAGACAAGCTCTGCTTGAACCAATGATGGTGAACTGCCCAGATGTTTGTCGTCAGATGCACCTAGCCTGGCACAGCAGTCAACCCATGGCACCTGCTGGGTCTGTCCCGTGGCCTCCCCCTGCACCTAGCCTGGCACAGCAGTTAACCCATGGCACCTGCTGGGTCTGTCCCGTGACCTCCTGCCAGCAGCGACCCTTCGACACTTCACGTGGCCTCAGAGTGCATGCACCTAGCCTGGCATAAGTGCCGTGGTGACGTCACAAGTGGGGTGGGGCACGTGTCTGAGTTACAATTAATGAGTTCTGCACGGGCCGTCATGGACAGAGCTTACCTAACCTATCCGCACTACAAATTGCAATCACCTTCACCGGCTACTCCCATATTCTCCGACGTTACCCGTCCCCACATTCCCCAGGTCGCTTAAGAAACAACGCTTATCCGCACTACGCATTACAATCGCACTTGCCGGCCACTCCCATAGGCTCCCACTTTACCCACCTTCCACATTCCCTACATGACATAAGCCTCCCTACCGATCCGCACTACGCATTACAATCGCACTCGCCGGACAATCCCATAGAACTCCCACCATCTCCCATTTTACGCGCCCACCACATTCCCCAGTTCGCTTAAGAAACCACGCTAATCCATAGAGACACACAGAGACCCATTGTGATACATAGAGACCCATAAAGACACACAGAGACCCATAGAGACACATAAAAACCAATAGTCACACATAGAAACCGAAAGAGATACATAGAGACCGATAGAAACACACAGAGATCCAGAGATACACAGAGACCCATAGAGATAAACAGAGACCCATAGTGATACATAGAGACCCATAGGGACACACAGAGACCCAAAGTGATACGTAGAGACCCATAGATATACATAGAGACCGATAGAGATATATAGAAATCCATAGAGATACATATAGATACATAGTGATACATAGAGACCCATAGATATACATAGAGACCGATAGAGACACACAGATCAAGGATAACACAGAGACACCCAGAAACCCATAGAGACACACAGAGACCCATAAAGATACATAGAGACCCATAAAGACACACAAAGATCCAGAGACACACAGAGACCCATAGAGATATATAGAAACCCATAGAGATACATAGAAATACAAAGTGACCCATAGAGACACACAGAGACCAATAGTGATACATAGAGACCCATACAGATACGGAGAGACCCAGAGATACATAAGGACCCATAGAGACAGAGACCCATATATAATACATACAGACTCATAGAGATACATAGAAACCCATATAAATACACAGAGAATCGTAAAGACAAAGACCCATAGAAATACACAAAGACCCATAGAGACACACAGATCCATAGATATACATAGAGATCCACAGACAAGCAGAGAGACACACACAGAGACCCGCAGAGATACATTGAGACCCAAATACTAAAGATTTCAAATGTTACCAGGTAAGGAGCTATGTAGCGCTGGCTATTACAAATGATAGCTCAACCAAGTGGCTGATAACATTATCATCGTGTGGAAATGTAAAGACACCCACAGAGACTCAGATTCACCACACAGAGACCCACAGACTCACCACACAGAGACCCACAGACTCATCACACAGAGACCCACAGACTCATCACACAGAGACCCACAGACTCATCACACAGAGACCCACACTCACCACACAGAGACCCACAGACTCATCACACAGAGACCCACAGACTCACCACACAGAGAGACCCACAGACTCACCACACAGAGACCCACAGACTCATCACACAGAGACCCACAGACTCACCACACAGAGACCCACAGACTCACCACACAGAGACCCACAGACTCACCACACAGAGACCCACAGACTCACCACACAGAGACCCACAGACTCACCACACAGAGACCCACAGACTCACCACACAGAGACCCACAGACTCATCACACAGAGACACACAGACTCACCACACAGAGACCCACAGACTCATCACACAGAGACCCACAGACTCATCACACAGAGACCCACAGACTCATCACACAGAGACCCACAAACTCACCACACAGAGACACACAGACTCACCTCACACAGACACACACAGAGACCCACAGACTCATCACACAGAGACCCACAGACTCATCACACAGAGACCCACAGACTCACCACACAGAGACCCACAGACTCACCACACAGAGACACACAGACTCACCTCACACAGACACACACAGAGACCCACAGACTCACCTCACACAGACACACACAGAGACCCACAGACTCACCTCACACAGACACACACAGAGACACACAGACCCACCTCACACAGAGC